CTGCATGTGGGATCTTCCCAGACCGGGGCACAAACCCGTGTCCCCTGCATCGGCAGGCGGGCTCTCAACCACTGTGCCACCAGGGAAGCCCCCAGAATTACTTTTAAATCCTGCATTTATCTTGGAGGGCTTCCTAGTAGGAGAATCCCATCACCCTCAGTCCTGAAATTTTACTTTTCTAACCCCCCTACCATGGCCCTACTTGCCAAACAATTTATTAACAAGTCAGACAGTTACGAGTCGGGTTTTTAAATCAGATCGTTACAAGTCATATCTTTGCAGGAGGAAATTGGTCTGGAAAAGCAGATACCTGACCCGGCAGCATTTTGAATTGCCGACAGAGACACAGAATTTCACTTTACCTGCCCCGCTTTGGATTAAAGGTTCTGCCTTTGGTTTCTTCTTTCCTTCTTTGGCATAAAAAATAGAATCCAGTGCTTTGGGTGGAATGTTGTCATATTTATGAGTTTCTTTCACCTTGGGATCCTCCTAAGGTACAAACGAAGAATAAAAAGTGTGTTGGGACAGAGGCGTACAGTGAGTCTAATCGGTTATTTTGAGAAGGCCCAGGGAAAGCACACGCTCCTCGAGTGAACAGTGGGATGGGACCCAGGTGCCTCCAAGAGGCCCCACTTCTCACACCATCTGGACCACGCTGTCGCCTCCATTTCTCTTCTGTAAAGTGGCAAAAATACTCCCCTCCCTCCTCCCAGGGGGCAGCAGCTCACCAGGAAGGGAAGCTATTCTCTTTCCAAATGAAGGTGGCCGCGTGGTGCCTGGGAAAGGAGGGTCTGCATTAGAAGGGGGACAGGCAGGTCTGCAGAGGTCCCTGGGGCTTTAGAGATACTCCTTACAGCCTAATAAAAATAACAACCACCAAACTATCACTGCTGGAATCACAGAGCAGGATGGAGCATCTCTGATAAAAAAAAATTGATGCATGGCAGGCGTGTTTGGGTTACAATTGAGGGGAACTTAGATTTCTAAAGAAATCTATAAACAATAATAACAAAGCATAGCTAGATCACAGTGTAAGATGAACTAATTCTTAGCACCATCCCAATTCTATTCCAATTCTATCCCAGATATATCCCATCTTTATATACAAGCCATCTTTTTTAGTTCTCCTTTTTTCCATCTCTACTGAAGTATTTGGAAATGAATACAGGCAAAACTATATAAATAGATATTTCTTGTGCGCTCTCTGTGTCACTTAAGAAAATGTCAAACTAAAAACACCTACCTTGTGCCATTTATATATGGCATTATATGTGTATTATGCAAACTACTAGGGTTTTTTTTTCCTTGTGGAAATTAAAGTGTGAAAATAGTCCTTCAACCACATATATAGAAGCCAAGCAAAATCTTTCTACCTATTTTAGGAGGCTTTCCTGCAAGTTGAAATTGTGCTCATGAATATAGGAAACAAGATCTTTGCAGGACTGGTTTTAGAAACAGAAGATGATATATGGTGCTTGTGCCTTAGAGGCAGCTGGGGGCTGTGATTCGGGAAACCTACTAGATTCTTCTGGGTGTTACTCACATCTCCTTGTCACAAGCATTTTCCGTATCTTTGGCCTCTAAGATAAAGAGGCCATATATTTATTTTATTATCTCTGAAACAGCACTCAGAGGACAGTGGCAAGGAAATATTACCCAGCCTCGTTACGAGGACACAAAAGCAGCGAGGATGCTGTGCAGAGAACACAGAGCAAACCACACCCATCGCGGTTTGACCACCCGCTCCCGTAACCCCAGGAGATGTGGAAACAAGAACTCCCGGGGGAGCAGGACGGCAGGTGAAGGCGGGCATCACGTCATTAAACCAGTTTTATTGTTTAATCTCATACTTTGCCTAACAAGCACATGAAGGGAATGCAAGATTCTAAAACACCTCATTCCTGTGAAATCCAGGGAAATCAGAGCCGCATGGGTTTGGCCTCTTGTCAAGCGTGGGCTCAAACCTCTCCTTCTCGGCGAGAGCCACCCTGATGGCTCCCTCCCTCTTTCCCCCCATTTTAAATTTCTCTGAATTAACAAAGAAGGTGCCATCCTTCAAGAGTTAGACCTGGCAGGATGTACTAACTCACTGGTTCCCTGGGACACTTTGCAGCAGTTCTCTCTCCTGCCAGTGTTCTGTCCCCCTTTCATAACGGGGCACTTCCCTACCACTGACCTCAGCAATCCATCAGACAAGAGGAATCGTATGCCGACAGGACAACGAAAAAAATATGGAAGCATAAAATGCCTTGGACTCCCCTTCTTAAAAAAAGAAGCAAAAAAGTTCCCTTCCTTACCCTTCTCCATATTTTCCCCCAGCACTTAACTCAATTTACAGATAATTTATTTATACGTTCATTGCTCACCTCTCTCCATGAGGCATTAGACTCTCCATGAGGGCAGGGGTTGTGTGTGTTTGTCTGCTTTTCTCATAATGGATCCCAGAGCCTGGGACAGTGCCTGGCACATAGTAGGCACTCAGTAAGTACCTGCTGAATGCGTAAGTGAACAGGGCTGCTGTGAACCTGATCACGCCCACCTTTCAAACACTTCAGGGAGTGGTCCCAACTTCATGAGGATGTTCCAACGCCCTTCAAGCTCTAAGCCTACCTGCCTGCACAGCCCACTCCTCACACCCTTTCACCGCAGGCTTTGCACACCCCACGCCTTCCTACAGAGCTCAGCTGCACCTGGAACTCCCCCCCTGCCCTGCCTCCTGACCTAAGACTCATCCTTCAAATCCCTGTCCACGCCTGACCTCCAGGGCGCCCCCTGCCGGGTCCTGTAACACCTCCACACGCAGTTCCAGGACCCAGGCCCACCATCCGCACATTCCTGGCCCTAAACGAACGGCAGGCTCTCGATGTGTACGTGTGTTCAATTAAGTGATCGTAACAGTTGCTCAGTAAATGTCTGCCGATTCAATGCACTGAGCAGGAAGATGCAGACAGAGTAGGAAAAGAAGGGTTGAAAATCTGGCATATTCTCCAGACAAGGAAAGGTGAGGGGCTGCTAGGAGTAGCTTCCTTTCATGTTTGTATTAAACACGTATTTTCTCTAAACTACATAGGAGGAGGTTGCATGAATCACGCACATTTACGGCTAAGTCCCTTAGACTGAGTACTGAAGACACATGATCTATTTACACTTTCGGGTGGTTTCCTGACAACAGAGACAGACGCCCCTGCAGAACCACAGGACGGTCACCCCATTCAAGAAATCGGCCTTGACGCAGGCTTTCTAGCTAATCCGCCATCCACACTCCATCTGGTCTCCATGCAACGACATCCTTTGTGGACCTTCCCTCGAGCACAGACTAGTCCAGGGTCACACACCGTGTTTAGGCGTCGTGTCCCCTTCATCCCCTCTTACCTGGACCCAGTCCTCAGACTTTCTTCGTCTTACATTGACACTGAATTTTTGAAGAACACAGCCCTGTTTTCTTTTGTTTTATAGGAAGAATCTGAGGTTGGCTTGGTGTTTCTGCATAATTAGGTGAAGGTTACGTGTCCCTGACTGGATCCTACACACTCGTGTCCCATCTCAGGTGTCACAGCCGGATCCCAGGACAACTGTCTGCCTGGTTGGTGATGGGGACCACCAGCCTCTCCTCGTCCATCCAGCCAACGCCACCGGCAGGACAAGCAAACTGCCGGCTCTGACCAAACTCCCTGCAGTGCCCTTTCATTCCTGCATGAATCTTGACCTACTCACCTTTGAAACCAGCTGTAAATGACTCACATTTAAGTAGATGATCTTAATTATTTAAACAGAGCAAACTGTAATATAAGTTGGAAAAAGTATAGAAAGAAAACAAAATATTTACACAAATTCCACTTTAAAACATGTAAATAAACTCCTGAGAAATACATTAAGACCCTACAAAGTGTACGACTAGACCCACATACCTAGCAAGTGTGACCACCCACACCTAGCAGAGTGGGACGAGACACACAGGACCTGAAGTGTATGCAGGCCCACACCCAGCTCGTCCCCAGCACAGGTGTGTGACGGGAACTGGAAAGGGACATAAGAGCCTGGGTGGAGCTCGGATCCTGGACTTGGCGGTGGGGAAGAAGCAGCCTTGCCCAAAGTCTCAGACTTTCTTAGACAATCCCTCCGGCCACCCTGGACCTGGCACACAGTAGGTGCTCAATGCTGAGCGCCGTCCCCTCCCTCACCCAGCGGCTCTGCACCTGGCACATCATCCCACCACGCTGTCCCAAGGCGTCTCGGTGACATGGGACTGATAATACTGCCTCTTTGGGGTGGTCATGAGGTCTGCAGAGCTTCACCCCAGTGAGGGTTTTAGAACCTGGCGGGGCAGACAGAAGCACTCCATGAAATGCTGGAGTCGAACGTGATGGGTGGGCAGGTCTGCGTCCTGAGAGCCGTGGGGAAATGGTGGTGGACCAGTGGGAGGCAAGGAGGGGGTCTCCAGGGAAGGGGCACAGGTCCGGGAGGGGACGGCATGCACACCTCCTCTGCAGGCCCTCCAGGTCTGCTTCCCTCGGGACGAAGTCCAAACTCCCAGCACCACACCCAGGCACAGGGGCCCCTACCTGCGGGCCCACACACCTTGCTATTCCCCGACAGGCCAGCGCTTCCAAATCCCTGTGTTTCTCCAGAAGGGCTCCCTCCTCTGGGGTCTGGCAAACTCACCTGCGGATCCTAACTCCAGTGTCATCTTGTCCCTACAGAGAAACCCGGCCCCGCTCCCAGCCCACTCTGTACACAGCTCCACGGCCACAGGCCTGCAGTTTCCACTATGTAACTCTCTCTCTCTCTGCCCGAAAGCTCCCCAAGGACCGAGGCAGGGCGGCCTGCATCTTCACACGCCCGGCGCTTGGCACGTGTGGACACTCTGGTGTCTTTTAATTGTCAGAGCCACACGGATTTACAGCCATTCTCGGAAAACAGCGGATAAGCGGGAACCAGAATCCACTGCTTTCCAACACGAGGAAATGAGCATCACGCCTCCGACCCCTGCTCTCCGTCCTCACATCCCCAGCCCCTCTGACATCATCGTGGGCTCTATTTACAAAGGCCACAGGACTTCCTTTCAATCTCCTTCATCTTTCTTCCTATTAAAAGTATTTTTGGAAAATATACCTGAGGCACACTGGGCTTATTTCTCTGTCGTGCTTTAAGAAATATTATTTTTCTCCAGAGCCCCCGTCAATCAATCTAGCTGTTTTAATGTCACTGTAACAGGTCATCTGGCTCCGGCACATGAAAGGCAGCCTCCCAAGGTAACCTGGGATGAATCAGACAGCGTCCAATTGATGAACATAACAAGCCAGTTCAGAGTCAATCCATCCTCAGGTAGAAAACAACAGGCCTGCTGGCAAAAGGCACTTCCCTGGCTCCCAAGGGAGCGGCCTGGCTCCAAAGCGGGTCAAAGTCTTCCACCAATGAACCAGTCCCTGCTTTGAGAATTATTAACATAGAAGACTTGCTAACACTTGAACCTGACTGTTGCATCTCCA